GCATGACCGTAAAGTGTAAAAGTGCACTCATCAGAAAACAAAACATGTTCTAATTGGATCACATTATTATCTACCATTTTCATCATTTGTTCACAAAAATACCTTCTCCACTTCTTTACTAAATTAACAGTATTACATAAGTATTAGTTTTTGAGTGTATTGTATCGCATTTCTGTATCAAATAATTTTCTTTTTTAAATGTTAATTTTGCAATAAATCTCAAAACACTTAATATTTCCGAAACAGTTGAAGGTAGATATAGAACATTGCACATGAAATATGTCTAAAATTTTCTGAAGTATCCAAAAATTGAATAATATACAAGGTGTTGCATTTAAAATAAGAAAGTTGGTATTGATCACTGTTACATGACACACCCTGTATAAAAAGTTTTTGTTGAAAAAAATGCGCAACTAAAGATATCAATCGACGTATCCGAGCGTTTTTTCGGACACGCCCCCATTTATTTATTATTGAATTTATTCCATTTGGCTGATACACACTGTATATGTCTGTATATCCTTAATTCTTGTATTCGCATAAGTTGAAAACAAACAATACTAATTGGAAAACTAAAAGGGAGTGATTAAAAGTNCTAAAGGTATGTTAAGACCGCTAAGCATTCAAAGGGTTCAAGAACATTGCAAATGTTGATGAATGGCATATAGTACATTTTTAATACATACAGTGTGTATCAGTCAAATGGAATAAATTCAATAATAAATAAATGGGACGTGTTCGAAAAAACGCTCGGACACGTCGATTGGTATCTTTAGTTGCGCATCTTTTTTCAACCAAAACTTTTTATACAGGGTGTGTCATTTAACAGTGGTCAATACCAACTTTCTTATCTTAAATGCAACACCCTGTATATTATTCAAATTTCGGATTCTTCAGATAATTCTAGACATATTTCATGTACAACACTACACTAATTGGAAAACTAAAAGGGAGTGATTAAAAGTCATATTAGCAACGATTTTGAAATTCCTTAAAGTCTTTTTCCAATAATTAATGAAATAAAAAAGAGGTGCCTAATCATTTCCAAAAAGTCCCTAAAATCGTGGTAAAACAATTCCAAAATAATTTTCAAATGAAATCTGAACCAATTGAACTTAACTTCACTGGCTGTAGAAAATACGAGATATACAGATATAAAGATATCAAATTACTTATCAAAATTGAAATACTGAAACAAAATATTCAAACCTGCCATCATAAATGACTACTTGCCTTCGAAAACATAAAAGTCTCATTATTTTGAATATTTCATGCAATGTTACTAAAGTTATTCCAAATAAAGGAATTTCATACATAATAGTAAAATGAAAATGATCACTGAAAAAGATAACTAAAAAAATACTTAAAACCAGAGAAAAAAATTTCAAATTGGCTGCACTACGTGAATCTTGCCATATTTCAAATTTTCTGAGTAAATGTAATTTATATACAGGGCTGGAAAATCCACATGGTCCATCTGCCTTTACATGAGAGCGGCAAAGTAAAGTTAAGAAATTCGTGCGATAGACAAGGATGACTGTAGTGAAGACGTGTCATAATCTGAATAGTCACCGCCCGTTTCGGGTTAGAACTATTCAGATTATGAAACGTCTTCAATGTCTATCCATATATATCATCCTTGTCTATCTCACGAATTTCTGTGACTTACTTCATCGCTCTCACGTAACGGCCGATGTACCATGGGGACTTTCCGAACCTGTATAATTAATTATCTGAATTTTCCCTGACTTTATTTTCTGGGTGTTACGTAATAACCTCTCTGCCTCTATTATCTTTCATTTCGGTATAAATATCCTGATGACACGACACTGACTGCTAGTTACTATCGGCATTTCATTTTATTTCCGATCGCTTCGATATTATTTGTCTCTGTCTCTTCCACTTTCTGCGATTTTTCGTCTGATTTCCTCTAGTACTAGTGAATCACACGCCATGACCAACAACAACACACACACACACACACACACTCGCATACACACGTGTACAAAATAAAATATTGCGGTCTGTTCTCAGAAACTACTAGTTCTCCTTGTCTAATTGGCTGGTTTTTGCTCTATTTCTAGACCCAGCGTCTCCATGTCATGTCGTCCTTGCACGTTCCCAACTTTCATTAACACTAATTACAACAGAGGACAGTGGCGCGAAAAACTTTTTGGCTAGAGGAGCAAATGAATATTAACTGAGGTAATTTTCTATCATTGGCGTATAAGTAGTTGTAGAGAATTAAGTAAATAAAAAAACAATAGACTCGTATATTAACAAATTTTTATATTTTTCCACTTATAAAACATGGCATAATCAACTTCGACACGTAACAGTTTAAGAAATTAAAATAAAACGAATTCTTATTTGTTGTTTCTGTGAAAAGATGAAAAGTGAAATTGTTTTTTTAATATCAAAAAATTGTTAAAAAATTTTAAAAACAGTACTGTTGCTCCTGAAATGTTACATTATTATCAAATTTCACATTTTTATAAATTGATTGATACAATAATTTGCAGAGTTTAATGCTTACAATTTATTCTTTCATGTTCAAATTTTACTTCGTACATATTGTAAAATAATTTTTATTTTTTTACTGTTTCTAAGAGTTGCTCCAAAACGTCCATTTTTTCTCAGAAATGTCGGTGTTAATGTTATCGACAAAATACCTTTGTGTAAGATTTTTTAATAATTTTAATATTAAGTAAAAAAGTCGCGAACAATTTTTACCTATAACAACAATTCCAATTTTAATTAATTTAATGATGATTGTGAAAAACTACTCCGCGACTACATGCCCTGACCCGCATTGAATTACACCTCCAATATCTAGTAAATAGCTAAGGCCAGGAGAGTTACTAGATATAGACCGGTTTCGAATTTATTTGTTCTCGACAATGTGACGCAGGTGTTTAATGATTTATCATTTGGATTTCTATCTAGACAAAATCATTACAAAGGTACATAACAATGCTTTGCTCAGTAGGCATAAAGTAGCAATTATATTTAAATATTATGAATGACATCGGCTCTATAGGTTATATCTATCAGATATTTAATAAGTGTACCAAAGTAAACAAAACAAAAAAAATACTAACCAAGTTATAGTAGAATATTAATTAAAAAGAATAATTTTGAGGTTATGTAACTCCTTTGCCAGTGAGTTTTAGAAAATCCGTTAAAAGAACTAGTACTAGTGTTTCAAACGGTAAGATTTCTCCTCCTGTTTGCGAAGATCCCGTACATCCAACATAAGTATCAAAATTCAGTAAATTTATATAGAAATTTAGACGTTGCAAAAATTAAGACATCTGGAGGTAAGACAAGAAACAAAGCCACGATCTTTAAAACTGAAACATCTTTTTATTTGGAAAATAACTTATTGCCCCTTTCTCCCCCACCCAGACGCCCATGGCAGTGCAAAGGATCTCGGTGGCAGAGGCCACAGCAACAGATTACCAACGAAAATATGTCTTTTGTGTACGCCGCGTCTCGTGACAAACGACAGCAGCCCACGCCTAGTGATTATGATTAAATTTATGTATCAACTTGTTAGGGGAAACTGGGGCAGAATGAATTATGTGCCCGGTTAAGTTTATTATTTATTACGCGATTAAAAATAAGCAGCGTAAAAAACAAGGGATAAAAAAGAAATGATTTCTGACAATGATATTCAGAATAAATTTCAAATATGGCATTGCAACATTTTGTTTTTTTCTGTACAGAGGAATTATAAGGAATTTCTGTTAATATTTTAGGAACTGGATCGATTTGTAAATATATATTTTAAGTTTCATGTTAAAAGTTGTTGATAACTTATGAAACAATATATTTATAAATAAAAATCTTCAACAGACACCTTACATAATTTTCGAAAAGTTTGAAAAATGGGTCTTAAGAGTGATGGCCAGCTGTTTTCTATTACGAGTAGAATTGTCAAATATTCTATATTTTAGTAGTAGATGGTATTTTTGGTCATTTTTATTTAAAAAATAAAAAAGCCCTGTATAGACGGGAATCATTTTATTACACGGTGTTCAAAATGGAGAGGGTTTTTTAATTTTAAGTAGGATGCATTAATATCTAATAAGTATTTTCAATAATTAATACAGTTAAAATTGCAAAATGGTGCTTACAACTAAAAATCATTAAAAACTTATCGAGAACTTCTGGAATACATAAAAAGAGGTGAATAGTTGTGGGAAAAGATAGCGTGCCGCCCACTTATTTGTTTCGTTTTTTGGTGGTGAAAAGAACAATTGTTTAAGTTAACTGCACAACGATTTGGGAAAACAGAGCTAGTTGAGCGGAGTCAGTGGTTTCCAAAATGTTCCTTCGTATTATTGTGGCCAGCAGATAATAAAATATATATTTCATTTATGCCAATCGAATTTTTTCACCTATATTTTTTTACTCTTCAAATATCCTTTTCTTGTTATACAAATACAACCACTATATTTAAGGTATTTTACACACGATAATGCCAGTTTTTTGTCACAAAATCCTACCTATTAATCGGGACTCCACAAGTGCCTATACATATCTTATGAAAGTAGCAACAAATTTGTACACAAATGTTTATCAATATTTTGTTTCACAATAAGAAATTGTAAATGAATCAATGAAGTCTCAGTGATGGAGGATCACACAATTTTGTGATTTAAAAAACATAAATTTTCTGTTTGAATCTCATTTAAAATGTATAATTTTATAAACAAATACGGAATTAAAAACATTGTAAGACTGAAACAACGATAATTATATTATTTTTTATTTTTTAGTTCCTGTGCTTTTGAATTGATGGGCTAGAACTTTTTTCGATTCAATTTATTTCTCTAGGATTGTTTTTTAATAACAATCATTTATTTGAAAAAGGCTGTAGGCCAATTCCTTTTAACCCAGCTATAATTGATTACGTTTCAGACCGATCTAATCATAAACTGAAAACTCAGACAAATGACTATTATGTGCCGTGTACGGACAAATTGTATACTCACATTGAAACAGTCTTCAGGAAAGAACATCCGTTAGTCCTGCAACAACAAAAAAAACCATTACAAGCTCGCTCGCCTAAGTGTATAATTATTTCATCATTAGCCTTAACAAGACCATCGTAGAACGAGCAAATTGTGTTACTTTTAATTTCCTTTGTATGAGCCTTCATAAAAAGTAACATCGGAGGCTGCAGAACCAGAAAGAAAAGAAAGTAAAAGCACACGGTAACGTTGGGTTTGCAATAAAACGTTAAGCCTAGTCCAGATCTATGTGGTTTTATCCGCAAACGTACAAAAATGATAAAAACTTTATTAAAAACTATTTGCAAATATTTGCGTAAAAAACACTTACGCAAATGCAAACGTGTGTTTTTAAAACTTTTGTTCTCCATTCTCGACGGAAATAAAAATTTTTAAACACATTTGCTCGCAAAGATTGTTCAAACAAGATCAAGGTTCGCGAATTTTTCCTCGTTTTTTTTTTTGGTCAAAATTGGCAGTCGAAAATTTAAAAAATGGTCCAAAAAATTTCAACGTGTTCTTTACCCAATTTTAAAATTTGCTCTCTTGAGATTTTCCGAGAAATCTCGCTTTTTTCGAGTATATCCATCATAAAAATCTGATGTCCCTATTTTACGATTCAGATATATTCAAATTACCTGAATCACACCAAATTCCCCATTGCTGCACTGCACTGCTAGGCAATTTGTCAATAACTTGTTAACAATAGAGATTTATGACCATTTGTCGCCGAGATATCGATTTATTGAAGACAAAAGGATCCTTTTCCATTAAAAGTCCGATATTTCGATGAAAAATGGTCGTATTAAAATTAAAAAAAAAAAGGAAATTGAAGCTGAATAAACAAGCTATCTGATTCATGCTAAGGCGTAGCTGAAAAAATTTTTCCAAGTCCGTGGACTCGCGCTATTACTTAGAATTGCATGGCAACTGTAGCTCCGAAAAAATTTCGACCGAAAAATTTAAAAACTAGAATCTTAGAGCTTCAAATTTCACTTCTTATTTGTGGAAGGACGAAATGGGCGGTAACTATTAGACGCCTTCATTATAGCCATCTTTCTCTATCGCACGGATTTCTATGACTTTGTTTATCGCTCTCACGTAACGGCCGATGAACCATGGGGACTTTCCGACCCTGTACATATATGTAGTGATGCTTTTCTATATAGTATCTAAGATGAGTGATTGAAGGAGCATGCAACAAATATTTTGCAACTGAGTTACAGTTATCAAGAACACTGTTTTTCTAAAATATATCCATAATAAATTTTGCAAAAAGTCTAACAGAAACTTGTATAGGAATGATAAGATATTTGGACTCGAGTTACTTTTTTTTAAGAGATTGTATCATCACCCCAATATAAATCATCAGCATGCCACATTTCACTAGTTACGAATATGATCTAGGTATTTATAAAACTCAAAAGGAGATATGTTTTGCATTTGAGTAACACTCAAAAACAAAAATCCAAACAAAAGTTAATTACTATCAGTTTGCCCGCCGATGATTCGTTCTTTTTCAGCATTTCAATTATGGACCGTCATTCTTTTTTGCTCGACCTCTGCGACTTTTTTAACACCCTCTCGTTTCAAACGAGCTAAAAATAGCTCCGCATTCAGCAAACCTAGCCGGCCTTAATGAAAACAAAGAATGCGAAGCATTTTCAGGATGCAATAATTTGCAAGTTTAACGTTTTAAATCGCAACGCGTCGTATAAAACTAGTAAAGAACTGCATCTGCTGAATATATTTATTATTAGAGCTAATGGTGGTCGGAGCGCTGTGTTTATGTATCTAGTACAACGCTCGGCTGTCGGGAACGGCAAATTCGACTGGGTCTGGGTAATCCGACTTGTCAAAGTGCAGAGGTGAAGCTGGCACAAGTAGAAATTGAAACTGATAAGTTGAAAAAATGTTCTAGTCGATTTGGTTTATAAGTGAGTATAGATTTTGAACATGGTAAATGAATGAATGCGTTTGAGTGTACATATATCACATTTCTCCTAATCTTTTATTGGTTTTTAATATATTTTGAAGTAAATATTCAAATAAAAGTGTGACACATGATCACCAGGTGCTCTGCTCTGCTAGCGGTATAGCAGACCACATGTTTCAATTTATTTGTGGCGTATTAATGCAGTATAGTGTTTTAACTACCTAAATGTAAAGATTATCTGTATAGAAATTAATTTAAATAACATTCTCTATTATTTGTCTTTAAAATATGCATATTTCTTTTGTTCTAGGTTAGATGTCATTTAGTGCAATGGTAGATCTTTTCAAATTTATTTCAAGTTCACCTTACTACTTTTTTTTCAAGGAAGCGTGCGCAATTTGGCGCTTCCCGCCCGGCCGACCGGATTTGTGTATAACTGCATCGCTGGTATGGAGCCAAGGCCATCTTGATTTAGTCGGAGTGCCTGAGACGTTGCTAGCTAGCGCTAGCGTGGTCCTGTGAAATGCACTAACTATAATCTACGGCTCCCAAGACGGCTTAATGGGCCCGCCTCGACTCGGCCAGACACCTAAATTATTGTACTTAAAAATAAACAGTATGTTTGTTGTATTGCCACTACGCTTGTGTTTGGGTTAAGAGCTGCTACCGCTCAGATGATTGGCATTCCGAGACATATTCACGTTTATTTTTCAGACAAAACGTCGGATTTAACAAAAGTATGAAGGAAAGAAAGCCAAGTTAGCATCAACTGTAAATGCAATGTGTGTCATTTTTCTATGCAATAATTTTTTTCTATACATTGCCGATACCTTTCCACTGACCTTTTTATTAAGTTAAACAGAAATGTCGTTTTGTTTTGTCTTTATCTTGGAATACACTTGTTCTTTCACTTTGTCTTTTAAAAGTCAGTCCAAAGACAAGTTTAGAAATGTACAGAGAAAGGTAAAAGATATGAAATTTTAGTTTTGAAATAGACTGGAGTCTATGAAGCTGCAGATTTTCATTGAGAAAAAAAAAATGTTTTTTTATATAAAAAAAGCAATGGCTTCGTATGACCGATTTCAGCACCACCTTCGAAGTAAATTTTCCAGAATTATTTCAATTTCTTTCTAGGTGTTCCAAAATCGGTATGTTCACATCCTAAAAACCATGAAGATGACCGTTCCAGCAACTGATTCTTCTTGATTGCAGAAATCATTTTCCGTTTGAAATTTCAGTTTCAGCAAGGCAAAATTTCTACACATTTTGGAACTAATGTTAGAAGTCACTTATAAGGGATTTTTCCCAATTGATCGAAGAAGTAAGTACTCCGTTGTTTTAATGTGATCTAACCTTGATCTAATATCAGAAGTCGCATAGATGCTTCCCCAGTTGCTTGATCGATCGAAGAAGTGATATGATCTTGATCTAATGCTGCAGGTATACTTAAAATAAAGTAATGGAGGGGACATATCAGACAATATTGTGGCATTAAAAGACGATTTGATGCAGCATTTGGCAGGCAGTAGATTTTGGGGCTCAACATACATGAGACTTCCCCAACGGCTTGATCGATCGAAGTGACCTAATCTTGATCTAATGCTCCAGGAATACTTACATAAAATAAAGCAATGGCCAGGACATACCAAACAATATCGTGGCATTAAAAGACGATTTGATGCAGCAAGGTAATTGGGGCTCAAGATAGATGAGCCTTCCCCAATGGCTTGATCGGTCGAAATGATCTAACCTTGATCTAATGCTCCAGGAATACTTACATAAAATAAAGCAATGGCCAGGACATACCAAACAATATCGTGGCATTAAAGGACGATTTGATGCGGCATTTGTAGCAAGGCAATGTTCCTATAGACTTTCGGGCTAACATTAGAAGTCGCACAGATTGCCCAATTGCTTGATCGATCGAAGAGGTGATATGATCTTGATCTAATGCTGCAGGTATACTCAAAATAAAGTAATGGCCAGAACAATCAAACAATATTGTGGAATTAAAAGACGATTTGATGCAGCAAGGTAATTGGGGCTCAAGATAGATGAGCCTTCCCCAATGGCTTGATCGATCGAAATGATCTAACCTTGATCTAATGCTGCAGGAATACTTACTATAAAACGTTGTCCAAAACATACCAGGCAAAACTGGCATTAAAGGAAGATTTGATTCTGTTTTTATCTTCTCACTACCACAATTCATGAAGAATGTAATCAATTTAGTCAATAATGAAGATTTATAGAACATCGACGAATAGCCAGACCCGTATCGATTCATTAGGCCCAATCGGGAGAATTATCTCCTTTTCGTGAACAACAAGCGACGAGCGACGCCAGCAGCGCCCATGTGGGTCATCAATAATAATAACCACTATCATAACTTAGGTATTCTTTTCAAAGTAGGCAAGGAGGGACGGCGTCTCTATATATCAACCCGCATTATACCCGACTCATATTATTTGCACCTAATAAGGCAGGTGCTATGCATGCATGTGCACGGCCGACGAATAGACGAACATAAATTTTACAGCGCATGCATGTTTCATCTCGAAATTTATTATACGGCTACAATGATAGGCTTGTCCGTTTACGGCCGGCTCTGAAAAATTGATAGCGTTATCGAGGTAATGATTCATCCGCTATTTTGTTGCTGAGCATTGTCATGCCCAAGGAACATAACTCCTCATTTTTTACGCAGGTTAGGGCAGGCATTTGCCAGCGGCCTCTGCCGGTAAAGCAGAAGACACTGTAATTCTGTTGGAGGTGGTAGATTAAGCCCGCACTACACGTTTTGTCAGAGCGGACGGTGTATGAGAAAATTATGACTACTACAACAAAAACAGTTGTTCATCCAACAATCCAGTTAGATGTGAGAGAAATATGTTTATGGTATTTGACAGGGGGCATAAACTTTCAAAGTGTAACAAATGTTCGCTCGCAATTGCTAGGCGTATGGGAGGAGTGATTTTGGTGTCATTGTATATGTTGGACCAAATAGAAGTGGTTCCGGGCATTCCACGATTACGCGAGTGGCAATTGGGAAAAAAATCGTGACCCTCTAGATTTCTCTACT